TAGCCCCAGTGCACGCTCATCTTTTCAGGCTTCCCAGATGACAATCCACAAGTGTTCGAGCTGTACTGGTCCCAAGCACAATTAGCAGCCCGTTCTCATCCTTCCTTCCTGGCTACCTCTCGAGCTTTCCTCTCCCTCTTTCATGCTCCAGCTCAAAAGGCGCCGTCTTCTTCCGCGTCAACGCAGCCGCCCACCTCCCTCACCGCCAGCACGAGCATTCCGTTGACCTACGCGGACAGGTTGCGCATTCGTCTCCCTGGCGACTCCGCTTTCGCCCTCGGTCCTCATATCGACGGAGGTGGCATCGAGCGGTGGGAGTGCCCTTCCTTTCGAGGTTGCTGGAGCAAAGTGCTAGGTCCATCTGAAGGCGGAGACTTTGATGTACACCAGTCACAACGACTGGCTTGGGAGGAACACGATAGTTGGAGCCTCGGGCCGAACGGAGAGAGGCTGAGCGCAAGGACGGACATGTACGATGGGCCAGGCCAGTGCGGCGTCTTTAGACCTTGGCAAGGTTGGCTCAGCATGAGCCGTACTGCACCAAGCGAAGGCACGCTCAAAGTGCTCCCGTTGCTAAAGGAGACCACCGCATACATCGTCCTTAGACCTTTTTTGTGAGTGCAGGATGTCTCCTGGCGGCGTATGAAAATCTTCAGTATTGTGTGTCCTCGGACTGACTTCGTCCGCGTCCGTCTGCGCCACAGCAAGTCTATCATGCAGCCCGGAGATGTAGCTGCCAAGAACGCTGATGGATCGTGGTCCTCGGCATACCTTTCGCCTGAAAACTGGAAGCTGGACACTGAGTCCAGCGACTTTCCCGGCTGCACGCTGGGTCGCAACATCGAGCTCAACGAAAACACCCACCCGCATTTGAAGCTGGACCGAAGCATGCTCAGCATTCCTGAAGTTGGCCCGGGTGATGTGGCTCTTTGGCATTGCGGTGCGCGTGACGCGTTGTCAGCCGTCTCTGCTGTGCTTCCGAGGAAAGAATGCTGACCAATTTCTCCCTTCTCTCGTTTGCTTCGCGCTGACAGACCTTGTGCATGCTGTCGAGGCGCAGCACACGGGCGCTCCGGGCAAAGACTCGAGCGTCATGTACATACCTGTGAGTCCTTTTGCCAATCGCGGGCCCTTTCCAACGGGACTGATGGTCCGTTCTCATGCCGCGCAGGCTATTCCCCTGACGAAGATGAACGCTCAAGTGGGTCAAAGCTTCGACGAAAGTCGTTCGATTCACTTCGCTGACCCACCTGCCATTCCTTGGCGCCTGTAGTACGTGGCGAGCCAAGCAAACGCATTCCGAGCTGGCATTCCTCCATCCGACTTCCCTGGAGGGGCTGGTGAAACGTCGTTTGTCGGTCGAGGCAAGCCAGAGGAGGTCAAGGGAGAAGAGGCGCGCGCTGCGATGGGTCTGGGTCCCATTCCTATTCGCAAGGATATGGGCCATGCCGAGCTTGAGCTGGTTCGAGAGGCGAACGCATTGTTTGCAAACGCCGCCAAGTCGTGATATCCCATTCCATCACGCCGATGTTGCTTGTAATTGTGCCATATGCTGCTCCAGAATGCAAATTTGCATGCGCTCACTGCAGCCTCTCTGACACGGCGCCTGAATGTGACACGCAAGATCGTATGGACCAGAGACCCTGAGAGTCGGAGTCGGGTGCACAGTAGACGCCAAGAGGGGAAGAAAAAGCGTTGCTCATGATTGTGAACACTTCGACGCTCGAGGCTCGCAGAGTGTATGACATGCATGCAATACCGAAGTGAGTTCAGGGTACGTAGAATGATACAGAGCACAGCATGTGAGGCGGTAAGGTTCCAGAGCCCAGAAGCGATGCATTCCTTCTGTTGAAGTCTACGTGGAGAAGTTGGGTCCAGGCTGGTTCTTCACGAAAAGACTGATGTGGTGGAGCGCAGCGGAGGGCAGATCATCAGTCAACGTGCCGCGCAATGAGCATATGAAGAGCCCACATTCTCAGCCTCTCGAGCTCAGACTTACCCAGTGGGATCGTACTTTCTGCTAGTGGCCTGCATCAAGGGATATTGCTCGTAGGATTGCAAGATGTTTTGACGGAAACCGGCATCGTTTAGGAATTTGGGAATGTCCTCGTCGTGAGGGATGCTGTTGGTGAGCTTGTCCCAGCTCGCTCGAAGAGCTTCTTGCTTGTCGGCTGCAAGATTGGGATCGAAAGCGAGCAGCATGTTGACGACTGAAAGATAGCGAGTGCGGCGCAGGTAAGAGTGCGGGTCTACCAGCTGAATGGCTAATCCACCTCCATGACTCACAAATGTATGGACCTTCAGGCCCACCAAGCGCATTGCCGCCAGCGGCACGGCTAGCATCGGTGATGCTCTTTGCAATGGGCTGATAGTCGACGGTGGCCAGGATGTATTGACCAACGTGTTCCTTGGACCACACCTTGAAGTTGTTGACCAGGGTCTGCTCTCGATCCGAGCCCACTTTCAGTGGCACGACGTTGGAATAGAAGCCACCTTGAGAAATGGTTCCGATATCAACCATCTCGGCTGCTTTGATGTAGTCGCCCGTGCTGCGCGTGTCTAGAACATGCGGAATCTTGGTGCTGCGATTGAAGAAAAGACACGGAGCTTTCAGTTGCAGCAAGCATCCTTGACGTCGCGACCGCGAGTGACTCACAAAGCATCAAATGTGGTTCCAGGGTCAGCACCGTTGTAGACATTGAAGAGGATGATGAAGGAGCTGAGTTTGGTGGTAGGATCGGGAAGAATTCCGAACGAGTCGACGGTGGTGATGATAGCTGCTTTTTTGTCAGTGTTGGTAGAGACAAAGTCCGATGTGGCCTTGATGACTTTGTCCCACTGGTCTTGAGTGTAAATGACGATGCCAGAGTAGACCTTATCGACAGGAACCAACTTGGTGTGGTAGCCCGTGACGATGCCAAATCTGTTTCCACCGCCCTTGAGGGATTTGAATAGATCCTTGTACTCGTTATCCGCTGTCGCCTTGACGATGCGACCGTCGGCAAGAACGACGTCGAGGGCTGTAAAGGTGTCGCAGACTAGGCCATGCTCAGCAGACAAGTAGGAGAGACCTCCACCGAGTGCAAGACCGGAGCCTACACCTCCAAGTCGACCACCAACTGGGGTGACGCCCTGGGGCACAAAGTAGGAGTAGACGTCTCGCCAACGGTTGCCAGGCTCAAAGTAAGCCACTTGCTTGTTCTCATCGTCGAATCTCTTGGCTGTCAAGCGTTGCAGATCGATGAGCACACCACCGTCGCTGCTGGACCAATTGTTGAATTGGTGACCGCCAGCCTTGACTGCAAACTGGAGGTTGTTGGCCTTGATAGCCTTGACGACAGTCGAAACCTCCTGGGCATTCTGAGGGTATGCAACGCAAGCAGGGAAGCGCTTCGCTTGCAATTGAGAGTAGTACGTTTGCACAGAGACGAGGTAATCTGGACCCAAGCCTTGATTGGTCACTCTACCAAAGGGCAATTGAGATCGCAAGGCGTTGCACGCCTTTTTCGTGGCGGCATCCGCTCGTCTAAACTCGTAGGAGGAGCGTGCGTCAGCGAGGATAGTGTTGAGCAAAAAGGCAGCAATGAGGGCGAGGGTCGCGGACAGCACCGCGCGCGTAGGGGACTTCATGATGAGGATGACTTGCAACGGGTGAACAGGGATTCGTGGAAATGGTTGGCGAGTGCGGAAGGAGAGGTACGGAAAGGCGCTTCAACGACAAAGCAGAGTGA